CTGCTAACGGGCTTAGCCCCTCCCCTTTAATCGCCTCCTCTTCCCAGCGCAGCTCTTCGCGCCATCCCTCTTTCACCCCCGTCGAGGGGCCCCTCTCCCCCTCTTTACACCTCAAAGTATTATGAAACAATGAAAATGAGTAATAATGTAATAATTAGAATGATTAACTGACATCATGTAATTAATTGACATTATGTTAGTTTACATATTGTTCGGTGTGGCAGCGCCAAGTTTTTTTGGATTTTTTAATAAATGTTTTGTATTTTAATTAAATTTTTTTCAATCAAATTTTGATCAGTTTTATTTATACATTTTATGTATATTTTATGTATGTTTATTTTGAATTTGCATCTTAAATAATATATCAGTTACTTTTCATGTTGATGATATTGTGGCGATTATATCGTCACATGCTTTCCCAAAAAGAAAAAATATTAACCAGAGAAACACGTATACGAATACGGTCAAATAAACATAAATAAAGATAACAGACGAGACGGTAGACGAGAAGCACAGTGACAAACATCGGGACGTAACAGACAAGAAATAAACGAATAGAACCTTTTCGAAGCCTATCGAAGGTTGAAATTTTAAGGCGAACGATAGGAAGAGCGGTTACATGCTCGAGGAGTCCGCTACAGGCAATCGCCGTGTACAGTCGCTTTTATCATCCGCACGATTTTTATACATTGCTGTACCGATTATTCAAAGATCGAGTTTTATAATAAATTGGTATTATCTGCAACTACTCTCTCACATTATTTTAATTCCCGACTCGTATCGAGGCGTCCAAAGTAATCGCGACGCGCGTAAATCGCCAAAACCCTGCAGAGATAACTCGGGAACTCCATGGAGGTCATGGCCGAGCGAATCACCTTCCACGGCAATGAGTTAAACGCATTTTTTATGTCAAATGATATCGCGATGACAACTTTATTTGCTTCCGTACTCTCGCAGACTAAGCGTTTAAATTCCAGAATAGCATCAATAATCGACCGTCCCTCCCTGAAGCCAAATTGGTTAATAGAGAGGAAACCGGTCGATCTCAGGTGGTCGTTTAATCTAGAGACGATAACTCTTTCATACAGCTTGGAAGACTCGTCTAAAAGGCAAATCGGCCTGTATATTCCCGGATCTTCTGGATTTCCATCTTTCTTTTTAATGAGAACTAGTTTAGCTGTCTTCCAAGCTGTAGGAAAAACACCCTCCTTAAGACACGCGTTAAAGCAGGCTCTCCAGACCTCCATAAAGTGCCCCGCGCCACCCGCAATAATGCCACCAAGGACTCCATCCGGTCCTGGAGCCTTTCTATTGCCGTGTAGTTTTTTAAAAGCTCGCCACAGTTCCGCCGGGCTGACATCATAATTATCAAACCAAACAAATCGAGAAAGAGAATTGATAGATGTATGCTCTCTGATATCATCCGGGAAAAGAGCATTCACAATATTCTCTACAATAGGGTGAGAAAGAATTTCGCAAACTAAATGTGATACAGGCTTCAATTTTTTGGTAACTATCTTATAGGGAAGACCCCAAGGATTATTATTCACGTCATTAAGAAGCTCTCTCCACGCTTCGTTCTTTGCTCGGATAATACTTAATCTATATTCGCGCAAACACAATCTATAGCTTCTATATTTCTCATTTACTAGAATAGGATTATCTTTCTTTTTAGCGCGAGAAAGATTTCTTTTCGCTCTTGTAACCAAACGCCGAGAGGTCGCTACCTCTTCGTTCCACCAGTAGGCAGACTCTCTAGAAGATCCTCTATTTCGCGGCATAGAGAAATCCGAAATAGTCCGTAGTGAATCACCCAGCCATTGAACCAATGAGTGCGCAGAGGATAAATTCATAGAGTCTAAAGACCATAACATACCGATATAACCAGCCGATAATAAACCTACATCTAGTTTGCGATAATTCCATTTAATAAATTTTTTATTTATAGCTTTAAACGTACTTCAGGACATCGATCACGTATTCTTCGGTGACATAGTTTACTTTTAGATTTTCATTGGTGGCCATCACGGTTTCACCGTTCATCATTTCCACCGCGATCATGTAGTGAAAGAAATGAATAATAACATCACTAGAAGCAGTGAGGACTTACATATCGGTGCAAGTACAAAATATCCCAAGAACCACACTGAATAAAATTTCACGATTACAAACATAACCCTAAATTTAGTAAGACAATCTTATTGAGTTTAATTGTCACATAAGTCAACTTATAAGTGCAATCAACGGCAATAAAAAACACAATTACTAATGTAAGTTGAACAATTTATTAATTTATTACTTTAATTTATTACTATTACTAATAGTTGTAAGTTGTAAGTTAAAACAATTTATTAATTTATTACATAAACGTTTATTTGAAAAATTTCTCTAATTTAGTATATGTATTTCAGTTTAAAAATGAATGTTACATATAAGCAAAGAGAAATGCTATTAAATTACATGGAATCACATCG